GTTGTTATTTTGTTCGACAATTCAACTTCGTCTTAAGTTATTTTTCCAGGTTATTATCAGATTTGGAGAATAGACTACAAGAAAGTTTGGTACTGTCCGATATTTGTGATATCTTATGTGATCATTTTGAAACAAATTTCGATCCTTATATTAAATATTGCTCTAATCAAGTTTATCAAGACCGAACGCTTCGAAAACTCAAGTTCGTTATTTTATGTAAAAAATAAAAATGGGCTGAGAAAAGAATTAACATTCTCATCACGTCACTTTGCTTTCACGATCCGGCAGAATAAGGAATATTCAATGGTTTTTCTTTGAAAACTCTAAATTTTTAATTGCAGATCTGAAAATCCTTCATTTCTGTCGTGCATTCAGCGCTTGGAAAGTGACCGTCTATGTCAAGGACTGGACATGCGCTCATTCCTAATGTTACCTATGCAAAGAGTTACTCGTTATCCACTTTTGATGATTGCGATTCTCGAGCATGCACAGCAAGATGCAGCAAACTATCAGACTGCCCAAATTGCATTGTATTTAGCCAATCATGTATGTTTCTTGCTTTTTACCGCAGAACTTGATAAGATTAAGAGGCCTTAGTTGTATTATAGTAAGTTTACCATTTTCATTTATATTAGAGATAATTAGATTAGTTACTAGATTGCAGCTGATTTGGAGAGGTAGAGTTACTTTAAAATGACTTCCTATTGTTTAATGCTTAAATAATTTCACCCATTTGGGCTTTTTTCTGTTTTAAATCAAATAATTGTCTGTAAATTGTTAAATAAAGTAAGAGGAATTTTCAAAACAAATTAGATAAAATTATCTCCCTACTTTTTCTTCATTTTTAAATGAACTTTTTCACTTTGTTTCGAGTTTTAGATTGTCACTTGCTGTAATGAAGGTGCCCGACATATGGAGCGTACCGAACAATTACTAGAAATTGAGCGTCGCCTCGTTTATAAATCTTCTGACTTGAGGTATTTTACCTAATTCAATGATTGATTACTTCAATGTCTATTAGAGTTCACTTCATATTTTATACTTTGTGAATGCCATTTTTGCTTAATTTCAGACGTATTCCGCTGGTTTCATCAGGACGTTATTTAGTTAAACGTGGGTCGCTCATCTGTCTGAATGAAAAGCGATCTAAGAAGCTATTAAATACTCGACAACAATTCCAGAGCATATATATTTTTCTTTTTAATGATATTATTATGTTAACGAAGAAGAAAGTGTATGCTTTTACTTTAATTTTCTGGCTCATTCATTTGAAAGAAAGTGATAACTTTATTATCGGTAATGCTTCACCTGTCAAAGTTAAAATATCATAAAAACAATTTATAATGCTTTCGAAGTCTATTTATCCAATAATATAAAATTTCCTGACTTTTCTACAGTCTCACAATCTAATTTTTTAGCACCATTTGTTAAATGAGTTCGGATTAATCAATTTAAATCCATTGCACCTATTTTTTACTTTCATTTCGGACCGTCTATTTTAGTAATGGAACTTATATATGCAAAGATTATTCCGCAAGAAGATTTGTCGATATTGAACCAGTTGAAGTTAACGATCCCAAGGTTCGTTCTATTGGTAGAAGTTTTATTTTCTAATTCCAGAATTACAATGAGGAATTGAAAGCTCTGTGTGATACGGAATGCTTGCTTTCATCAAGTAGTCATGTTGTATCAGTAGCAGGTTAGAACGCAAGCGAAAAATGAAAACTCATTTATATTTTAATATCTAAATTTTTAAAGGAGATCGACAAAATTTTAACAACTTCATTGAGGTGATGTAATTAAACTGACTAAAGTATATGATCTCATTTTTAATATTTAAAGCAGATCACATTTTTGAAATGCATTCAATTTTTTCCGTGTACATATAAGATTCTCCATCATTTAATCTAATGAGAAATGTGTTGTTTATTTATTTTTTGAAAGAGTGAAGCAATGAAAGTGTTAACGACTGTTTACATTTAATTAGTTTTGGGAACAAAATTACTTTTTATATTGTAAGTACGATTACTTCATTGGTTCATTATTTTCCAAGCATCTCCTGAAAGTTGATAGTAAATTTTAACCCTTTTTTTGGTAGTAAAATGTAACACTGTTCGGTGCTAGATGTATTCTTTCAGTTGTTGCAGTCCGTAACAGCACATATTCCGCTGAAGAAGCCGCATCTTTTCATTTGTACTCTCATGCATAATGCTGTAGGGAAACAAGTGGAGCTTCTTTTGAATGCAGATTCCGAAACCGATCGTGAACGATGGTTGTCCGCACTAAGACCACCTACTGTATAAATAATATTTATATTTCAGTTACATTCATCCTATATTTTCTCACAATTCCCTCCGGAAAGCAGTAAGGGTAGGATAATTCAGTCTTAATGATTCTTAAGTGATTTAACTTCAGTGCACCAATCCAGAAGAAAAGATCTATGCTGATTGGGATTGCCCACAAGCTGTCGCTGTACATCGGTATTCTCCGAGCCAAGAAGATGAGTTACCACTGGAGAGAGGCGATTTAATCAATATACTGCGTAAAATGCCAGATGGTCATTAATTTAATCCAATTCAATTAATAAATAGTTGATTTTCATTAACAGCTCCTAAATATGAAATATATAGAAGCATAAATATCTTTATTTCAGGTTGGTTTTACGGTGAAAGAGTTCGTGATTGTTACAGTGGCTGGTTTCCATCTTCATATGTTCAGCAAGTAGCTCTTGTTTATTAGTTTTGGAAGGAAGAAAACTCTTTTTCAGCAGCTCTTCATATTATATAACTTTTCTCGTCGATATTGTTCATTTAAATAATGTGTATGGCAATGTCATTTAGGGATTTGAAGAAATTCTTTAATTTTGTTTCCATTTGATCTCTTGCAAAAAAATTTCTCAGGTGCTCAATGATCATGTTCGAGCGAAAAACTATCGGCAGCGTTTACGTGTCATTCAGGTTATCTTCATTATGTTTTCCTATAAATGTGCGAGTATTGAAATGGAAATTATGAACAACCAATCGAAAATTCCAAAAATCTGAATTTTTTGCAAAGTTCATTCATTTTTAGGCAGCTGCTGATTTTCGTTTCCATCAAAAGCAAATGAAAATAGGAACTGAAGAAAATGCTCGCCATATAATGGAAAGATTTCGTCGATTGAGTAACACAAAAAGTGCACTAAAAGATTTAAAATCAAATCAAACATGTTAAAAAAATATTGATATATGCCATTTTGTCTACTTTATTGTTATGAACCAAGTGATAAAGAGAAATTTGAGAGTGAAGCCAGGTCAATAAAATATGGATAATCTATTCATTAAGGAAGCAGGTTCTGCAGTTCATGGTTATAAGATTTTCAAGTAAGCTTAACATTTATCTTCACAAAACAGGACTTCTAATTTAATTAACGGTGTCTGCAATTATCAGGAGACTTGAATTATCATATCTGAATCGAGATGAAGAATATATACGGAGTTCAAAAAGGCGTTAGGTTTCTGTTACTAATTGGTATTAACATCGAAGGTTTCAAAGAGTATTTTAATTAAACATTTCATGATCTCTGATCATCATATCTTCTATACGGTTATTTCTTGGGTTTAAAAAGTTGCGAAATTTTTTTATCTCATAATTTACTCCATATGATCTTAATTGGTTTGCATATTTAATTTGTATAGCTATTGTTATCTACATAATCTTATCCAGATGGAACATTATGATTTCTTAGCTCTTGAGGTAACTGCTAAATTAATGTTAAATTTAAGATGAGTGAAGGATGAATGGTAGCTCCCTTAAATAGGAAATGTTTGAGAAAAAATTTAAATAAATGTTTTACCTTGCTCGCTATCACATGCATATCGTTTTTTGCCAGTTATGTGTCTTATCCAGTTTTCTGCCATCGAAATTTCACTTTAAAAGGAATGAATGCTTTATTAAACTTTTATATATTGTGTATTCATGTAAACCTGTGAACTCGCATACTATACATTGCAAGTGCAATATCATTTTTTTATTATAGATATAACAAAAATCTAATGTTACGGAGCGCTTTTTGTCATTACTGTGTATTCGTTAATTTTATTACTTTCCATGTACGAATTATATCAGGATTAAAGTGTTGTTTTATTTTGCGTTAAAGGAGAGTAAACATCGGTAATTAAAATATGAACTATGCTTTTGACAATACGATTTGAAAATCACCAATTGTATGAATGTTGCAAGTCGCTAGGGTTTTCTAGCAAACAGTTTCTAGTCCAGAATATTTTTCAAAATTGAGTAAGACAAGTGGTCCTACGATTTGCTATACATTGAGGGAAGAAACTATTAAAAGTTAAGACCAAATATACGCTATGCAGGTAATACAATTCGAAGAACTGATGGAATAAATTGAATTAAAATGAATAAAGAAAGAAACTACAGCTTATGTACCTGCAGAATACTTCTTGGTAGAAAACGATCACAATATATAAACAGTGAAGATAATATGTCACATACAAAATTTATTTCATGGTAGAAAAAATAGCAGTGCCAAGTTAGGCCTTATGATTTTGGGCCAAATAACGGACTAAAACCTTGTGGGTCTTGCAATACTTTTTATTGTTGTAACAGGTGTCTTTCTTCTATGCTGCAGTGATTAATGTATTACAGAATTGATTGAATTATTTACTGATGTTGGCAAATACAACAGAAATGATGAATAAAAAATTCTGAGAGTTCACTGCTTGCCAACGGATATATAAAGGATGGGAAATAGATGACACACATTTGCTTTATTAGTAAAAAATGAAATATCATTCGAATGTTTTGGATTAGCATTTTTGGATTTTTGTATTTCGAAAGAGATAGTATGAACTTTTGTTGTTATTCAAATTTAATTTAATGAATATCAATCTAAAAATATTTTCTTCATTTTTAATCCAGTGAAAATATAGAATACGGAGAAAAATGTTAGTTAGGTATCCAAAAAAAAAAAAAAAAAAAAAATTATTATTAGTTCTAGCTTTTTAATTTGCCATTTCAACAGGTAAGTTTTTTTCGAAGTAATTGGTTCGAAGAAAGAGATAAAATATTCGTTCCAACTTATTTTTCTCTGTTCCTATAAGACTGTAGATAAAAAAAAAAATCGTTAGCTATGTATTTGTTGTCTTTGCGTAACAAAGTTAAGGCCTATCTTTTTTACTTTCAAAATTTGATATTTATTTTTAAAACAATAAAGATTACATAGAAGTCTATGGAAAAATTTTAAAGCCAGTAAGCAAGATAACAATTGCGGCAATTGCCGCCATCAAAAAAAATATTCCCATTATACCTGATATCACCATGCATGTTTTTTGCGCAGTTGTATATTTGATCTCTGAAAGTATAATCTAGAAAAAAACGAAGATATTATGGCTATATTACAATTTATTGGTTCAGAATTTTGATGTTACTATATAAATGCATTTTGTATTAGCAGAGTTAAAATTAACGCTGTCAACTTCTCAATTTCTATGTTAATCGTTTTAATCTCTTGATAATGTTCTATAATGAAAGTAGTACCCACCTTCTTCTTCATCTTCATCAGCCTAAATAGCAAGAACATTTTAGAATAGAAAGTTCAAAAAAAGTTAAAGTAAAAATACAAATGAGGGAAGAACTCTAGAAAAGGTGCTGGCATAGTTATTTCTACCTCTTGACTTTTGCTAAACTTTTTGATAAAGCAACAAATAAAGAATGGCTATAAAATGGAAATATATTGAACAAATTATCATTGAAAAATAAATAACCAACCAGCGTCTTCTTTGGATCTTTTCCCTGCGCTGCTTTTTTAATAACTTAAAATGCCAAAATTATTTTGGTGCAAAGAATTTGAATTTTTAGCGCACATCTCCAATCGAATATAAATTTGAAAATTATTTGTTTAGCCTTTCGTGAATCAATTTAAGTTAAAATATATATTGAAAACAGCAAACATGTTTTGATAACAAATGCAAACTTGAAGATCCTATTTGAGCAGATCTTAATTCTGTTCGGTCTTGTGAAGCTTGGCCTGGAGTAATTGTTGGAAGAATTTGCTCTGGTTGAGGTGGCGGTGGTGGCAGAGCATTTGCTGGCCCCAAATCTTCGTATTTATCACCCATCTGAAACATAAGTTTCATCCAGTTTTCTAATTCTTGCAAAACCTGGAAGGTTTTAGATAGAGAGAAATTAAAATCGCATTCGAAATCACAGCTCTATGAGTATGACAGAAGATAACTGAATGATAATCAACCAACTGTTTCTGCTGCTGATAATAATAGTTCCAATTTATTTTGTTCAGTAATTTATATACATTATCAATTCTCATTACGATATTCAACCAAAATTTGCATATTAAATTTGTGAAATATTAAATAGAAGAGCGCATAAAGTGGAAAAGCCGAATAAAATAGAAGGTACCTAGCAAAAAAAATAGTGAAAAGGGTAGCAAGATGAGAAAAGAAAGGAAGAAAAACGAAGTATGAAAGGTCAATTTAATTCTATAAAACTTATTTCAAGGAAGTCTCTCAAAAAGATTCTTTACTTTTTATTGTTCATGAATGAGCAAGGATGTGTGAAATTTAATTTTCTTTCATTGCACTTCCTTCCGCTCTATCTTTAAAAGTGAATGTTGTCTCCGTTCACTTACAAAATAAATGAGCCTGGATTCATTGTCCAGCCCTTTCCTATGCCCATTCTTTCCAGTTGCAGCTCTCTTATTCGCTTTCATTTTTAATAATTTTGAAATGAAATAGTATCGGTATCTTCGCCTTTTCATTAATATCACTCTTATCATTTCTGATCTTTTCAAATTTGGTACTTTTTTTAAAATGAATTAGTAAAATTTCACTTATGACGAATAAATAAAGCTTACAATCATCAATTGGCAAAAAACTTTAAGAACATTTTTCCAAAATTTTGAATTCCAAGAAATTGAAAGATGCTTTAGAAACTCTTAAACTACCTGAATCAATCAGTTAATGCTTTATAGGAAATGTGTTAAATAAGTTTGTACCCGTTTCTTTTTTATTTAAATTTTATAAATTAATATTTAATATTCATCTTTGAAATGTGCCGTAAAATGTTATTAACGACGCATGGAAGGAATTTTTCATATAAAATATGATATGAAGAAATGTTTGTTACCGATTTTCCGAACGTTTGACAATAGATGGATTATTTGTTTTCTTATGACAGCGATCCGTATCATCTGAGTCTGTCTTACTAATTAGAATATCAGAAGTTTGAATTAAGCGATTGTGGCAATTTCCAACTGAAATTATTGATAATAATCATAATTTATCTGATTAAGTTCAAAATTAAGATTGTGGACTTAAGCAGCATTGAAATTTCGGGATGAAACTGAATCTATCTGTACAGACAAATATAAATTATGAAGCAACTGTCGTTTGAACTACTGAGAATCAATCACTCTTCCAACGTTTAAGGCTAATTTTATTTAGTTTGCGGAGCATATCTAACTTGACTATTTCATCACATCGCTTCTATTCTTTAATTATAGTATTTCTCAGGTCATCTCATTTTATTTGGATTGCATCAATTTTTTGTGAAATGAACACACTGTATTTGATAAAAGTTATAATCCATAGATCGCTTAATCACTTATAATCAGTCTCCAAATCAAGCCAATATCTAAGTTTCAAAATTTATGCTTTCATTAGTAGCTAAAACAAATGATAATGGTTCGTGCAGAATTATAATGAATAACATTGTTTAATTCACTAATTAATTCATTATTTATGCTCCAAGACACATTCTAACTTCTTTTTTCTAATCTCATTTTCCACTTTTCTATTTTCTGCTTCTTTTCCATTTGTATTCTCATTTAATAAGAGTTGTCAGAACCTCGAAAGATAAGTAATATAATTGCACAAGTAAACATCTCCGTTTCGTTGTTATTCGTAAATGAAATATAGAAAAATTAAGCAATTTGATTCTTTAAAAACTGAAAACAAAAGCACAGTATTATGTAATTCATTAATTAATCATTAAAACAACAATTTATATAGTTTGTGAATAAAAGAAGAAAAATCATCGTTGTTTAAGTTATTATAACAAATTACTTATTCTCCTTATAGTTCTTTATATAACAACTTTACTTATTGACATTTTCTACCACTTTGCTTAACGTGTATTTAATTTAGAAGTTTACTTAACCTTTAATTAATTAATCAACTGTTGCTTGAAATTGGTTTGAAATTTCAGAACATTTTGGTGCTTCTATTACTTAACTTCATAAAGTAACAAAATGTCAATAATAACATTGAAAAAAATTGGTATTTATTTTCTTCCGTGGCTATTCTCAATCGTTGTAAATTATTCAACAGCTACAGTAAGTTTTTATTTTTACGCAGAATTCATGCAGAACAAAAATAATATCTGAAATTGAGCATTATAAAACATTTACTATTCCACAAGAATATAGCTCTTTAAAACTATGCAATTCAATTCTGATTCCTTGAGACAGAGTATAGATGTTTATCTTCAAGGTATAATAGGCTGTTAATTTTTAATTATCCCTATTTATTATGCTTAGAGAATAGAGTAGAATAATTTCCAAATATCAGCTCTGATTTTAAAATAGGACATTATTTGTTGACAAATAGGCTTTTGAAATGGTTCTGATAAAAAGTGCTTCAGCATGTTGTCAGTTGAAGATATACAAAATATAAACTTCATTTCATTTTTTTTTTAAGAAAACCGATATAATTACTAGAGAGTTTTCAACATTCTCTATAGCACTTTAGGTTTTAAACAGATTTTATCACTTTGACAATGATGGTACGGTCGACGATGAAGGTACTTCACAATGGTTCTTCGCCAAACCAGCTTTTATAATTTCCAAGAAGCAAATGAGTGAACGAATTGTTAATTCGTTATTAAGAAATGCATGGATTGGTTAATTTGTAAACTCTACCAGGTTTGAATCATTAATTTGCATTCAGTTACTTTCATAAAATGTAAACATTGCAGTGTAATTATTTATTCAATTTCCCATTTGGTTTTACTATGTAGGAATGCATGAGAAACTCAATCGTTTTGTTATTTATTGAAGAGCCAGTAATTTTCGTAATTTTCATATTTATTTTAATACTTCCCTGATTTTGATATATCCAATCGAAATTTAAAGTTCATAAGAAATTCTTAAACTCATTTAACTGTCCAGGTTCGTCCATTAAATTCAGGACATGTTTTAAAATATTTGAACAGTTACCGACAAACAGCAAAAACGAATAGTTTGTTCGAATTTCTAGAGAATTTCTCTTTCTTAGTTACGAGCACTAAATGTGATAAACTTTAAAGTCAATCTGCATTTCTGGAGAGATATTTTGCACTGAAAGTATAAATAATTTTTACCTGATACTCTCAGAATTCAAAAAATTCTATAATTAAAATTATTATTCCTGGCATTGTTAGATTAATCTAAATTCCCCAAATTATGTTTGTTTTAAAGTCATTAAGAATTTCTTTGGTAATTTATTAGAAGAATGCATTCAAGCAGCAAGCAGCAAATATACTCAAGGTAAACGATCAACAAAACAGAGTTCATCTAATAATAAACTCATAGGACTAAATTTTTGAGTATGAAAGTCTTTTTTAATTAGAATCAAAATTTCAGGAAAATGAGCCTTGCAATATAATAAGTAATATAAATATTATGTCTTCACTTATCTATTTCAAAAAATATTGACAATTTCTAGATCGATGCCATCAAAAAAGCCACTCTTGATTTTCTTGAATTTGATACTGTAAGGAAGCAATTTCTGCTTTCGCACAAAAGATTTGTAATTGAGCCCTGTCTTTCTCACTTTGCTTCATTTTCTGGCCTGTCAAAAGTAATTGAATAAGGAGGTCAGATATTTGATCCTCGCTCTGCAACTTTAGAAAACTGAAACTAATATGGCTAAAGGATATGTCAAATATAAACTTGAGAAATATTAATTATAGCTTGAAATTAAATTGAACCATATTTAGTTTAAAAAATTCAAGTGTCTTTTCTAAAATTTTTAAAAAATTTGGATTCAAACTTTGAAATTCTCAAGGAAATATGCTTACCATACATAATATGCCTTGCAGTAACTGTATCTTGTTTTCCGTATTCCTCAGTTCATTTTGCACATCGATGATGCAGTCCGTATTAACAGAGACGGATGAGGTGCTATGAGATGTCACATTCAACTTTCAGAGTTTTTCATTTTTGAAAGAAATTAGATTTTTAAATAATTTTCCTCTTTTTAAAATATTTTGCTGTTTTTGGACGAATATTTCCTATACGAGAATAATGTTAAATAAGATTGAATGGGCCAAGTTGAAGCACTTACTTAACCTGCCGTCCACTTCGGATCAAACATTTCGTGTCGTGAAATTCATTACGTAAACAGATCAATCGTTCTTGCAAGTCATCAATAATTTTGTGATTTCTTCTAGATCTTAAGTTTGGAATCTTGGTATCATTGTAGAAATCAAAAAGAGGTTATTTGAAAATTTTGAATATATAAAACATTTCTGAAAGTTACAATTTGCAAAAAAAGAGCTTTTTGAAAAACCAATAAAAAGCACTTGCAATACTCTAATGCATTAATAGGATATAGAGATTATTTAAATCTATTTTGTAGCATAAAGTTATTTTGTGAGTTTTAAGAACTTCTAAGTAAAGTAACTTGTTCCAATCGAACTTAATGAGTCTTATAGGCTCAATAAAGTAAGGAAAAACAAACGAACCTGATTTTAGTGCAAGCTATTTTCTCCTTCAGACAATTAATAGAATTGTTGATTTTCATAACTTCATAGTTTCCAACGCCAAATTTATGTTTTTCTTGGGAACAGTGCAAAATTTTGGTATATTTGAACATATTTTCTGCAACTTTTAATGGAGAAATATAAAAAAATGAACTGATTCTGAATAATTAGAGCTTAGATTTTTAGGAGAATATTTGCGTTAACGAATTTAAAAAGTCTTAGTAATAAGAACTGCAGTGAAAAGCAGAAAAGTATGATCATTTTTGTGTCTCTTTTTATGATAATTAAGAAATGCCTAGCAAACGGTTTAGCATGATCTACAGAAGTTGTTTTCTCGCTACTGATAATATTAAAATGATCGCAGCATACAAACCACAGAAACAAACGTTGCCAAAAATTCTCAGTTCCTATCATGTAAAATGCTTCCTTCTCATTTATGATCCAAATCCAGTAAAGTTCTAATTTGTTTGATGATATCGGGGTATCAATATCAAAAGTTACTAGGAATCAGTTTCGAGTACATTCCTGATCCAGCATTCAAATTGTCGGTAAAATTCACATTAAATATAGTGCTAAAAAACATATTAAAAATGATTCAAGAAACAAGCTAAAATGTGATTATGTTTAAAATTAACACAAATATAATTATGTTGAACCTTTTCAATAACACCACTCCAACCATTGTTTTCAGCTTATTAAAAATATGAGTGCAATGAACTTTAAGAAAAATTAATGGCCGGCCTAGTTTAATTAGGAGAAATATGTAAAATATAATGACCAGATCGACAATCATTATCTTTATGAAATTTGGATCAAAAATTCAAGGAAACCAGAACGATAAATAATGCTTTTAAAACAGTTAAACCTAAACAAAAATTGACAAATTATCAAAAAAATAAAAATCGGAATAAATATATCATTCTGTTTGAAAAAGAAAAATTAATTTCTTACAATCTAAGGGAACATTATTAAAATATGAATCGCATTTGAAGAAGGGAAATGAAATAAAAGGAAATAACTGGGAAGGAACTGAAGAATATATCCTCATCATAATTTTATATACTTTAAAAGGAGCACTTGGAAAATAACTCGAATAAATGATGACAATTTAGTGGATATGGCAGTGAAGTAATGGAATTAGAAAGTAATAATCAAGCAGTAGCAATAAAATACGGGAAAAAAGATCCATTTATTTACAAACATTATCTGATCAGAAGTGGCGAGAAATTCTCAAACATGCAATTAGTAATTTAAAAATGGATTCATATAATAAAAAATATATTAGTCAAGTTTAATAGAAAAAATGAAGAGAAAATGGAATTAAATACAACTTCTGAAAATTAACTCATAATCTAAAGAATCAAGAACATCCGAGAAAAATTTAATGGATAAATAGTTTTTCTAAAAAGCGTATTTTGTTTGCATTTATAAGTAACTTGAGTCTCTGGACATTTTAGAATAGCTGACCCAGTAACTCAAACTAAATATTGCAAAAAGTCAGTAAATATCCAAAAAAAAGCATTGAAAGCACTCGAAACTTAGTTAAAAGCGAGAAAATTACTGAAAACAATGCTGTGAGAATCTTTAAACAATCATTAATATTTTCATTTATCAGTTATCTTTGATAAGTCGCTATGAAATTGCTGATTACATTGTTTGCAAATATCAAAAAAGGCAGCCAAGGTAATCTCCAATTGCACTCTCATAACTTCTGGACAACAAGCAAATCAACATAAAATTAGCTTTTATAGCTAATTTTATGGATGAAGGTGAATGTTCGGTTACCTGCAGCTATTTGAATGGTCAGCGTGTCAGCATATATGATCATCATTAATATCGAAAACGCTATCGTTGTCATTTCTATCCAGTAATATAATTGAATTTCTTTCAACAGATCCGATGTCACCTGTCATAAAAGGGTTTGAGAAAAGAAATTTGTTTTTGTCAACAGTTTTTGCTAAGTTAGGATTAGGATTTCAGGAATAGAAGAACAATTGATGTAGGTTTTCAAAAGAGAGAATTAAAATAAAATTCCTCGAATGACAAAGACATCACTACATATGGTAACTGATAATCCCACAAAGAATTTTCCCTAATTCTAGTCTAATGTTGCTTCAAGCATTATAAGCATAGTCTTGAATAATTGAAATCAAAAATTTAAGATTGAAACAAAGTAGATCATTCAAGTTTTTTGACGAATGTTTAGTATTAACTGTAGACATATGAGCATTATGAAGGTTTACTCAAAGTAAAAAGAGCTCAATAGGTTAAAAAACTTATCTGCTCCAGCTAATTCATAATTAACAACTAATAATTAGCAGGGTATAAGTTTTCGAGTAAAAAAAGTTCAAATATAAATTTTTAGTTTTCACTAAATGAAAGTGAAAGCATAATATTAAAACTGACAAACTTCGGGTAACTAAATAGGTAAAGCGGATTTCTAAAAAAATCATGCAAATTAAACGATTGATTAAACGGCTTCTTTTAATCATTTCTCGTCACTAAAACTGTAGGCAAATAGAAATGATTCGAGTTTATTTTTGCAAGAACAATTTAAGAGAGGGTTAGAAAACTAAGAGAGATAAAAATGGGTCACTAAAAGTTTATACAATAATACGTAGAATGCAAATGACAATTTTAGAGAAGTAATTATGGTTAGAATGATCAATTCTTTAATACTTGTCTACCTAGCTTCATTGATAGTATCAACAGAACTGCAATAATCAGTTATATGCTTTGGTGAGATTTTAGAATAATATTCAAAGCGCCCACAACAAACTAATTAGAATTTCTTTTTCTCTCTAACATTAACAACGGCTTTGTTGTAATTTATTTATTGAAAAAAAGATAACCACACAGGTGTCAGTACTACAAAAACAATCTAAGCAAATCGAATCGGAGACTAAGGAAATCACATTTGCTATGAAAATGAAGAAGTATGCTTGTTTGAAACAAATCCATGCAGATATAAGGAAAAATAATCAAATGCATGCGCAATTTCAATCTTCACTTCAAATTCTATCCAGGATAAATCAACATATGCCATAAATTCTTGCATCTAAGTGGTTGTTAAACCATCAATCACAATAAGTTCAATTTTTATTTTCATATTGTCCTCATTCTGCACATTTCAAAACAATCGCTGTTTAGATCGGAAGTAGAATTGTTTCATCGAAAACATATCTCCAACAATGCTATTTAGAGATGTGCTTCAATATTCGCTCCACTTATCATGTCAATTCTAAAAAGCTTTCGAGTGCGACAGTTCTTTAATTTGCTCTATTTTCTACTGTGTGTGCATTTCCCTCTAGCAAGTGCTTCCTAAATAAATGTAGGAAATTCAAATTCTATAACGGCAGGAAGATAAATGTGAACGTTTTCTTTATCTGACCATAGTTTCCCGAAATTGCTTCATTGAGTCACAAAAGTTAGATTGTGGAGTAGCACGGAGTTATTTCATATCATAATTCTTTATTAAAATCAGATGAAAACAAATGAATTTTGATATACATACACTTATAATAACTTGCCAAATAAAATTTCAAGAAAAAATTCGAAAACTAGAAATCTTAGGTTGAATTTCTAAGAACTGAAACAATGAAGTTAGGAAATTATGCGAGTCAAATTTGATAAGAAGGCTAATAATGCTAAATGCAAAAACTTATACACATTACAACTAATTTAAATTTAATTTTCTTTTTTTTATTACTAACTTAATTAGTTACTTTTCAAGTAGTAAAACCTCTGACAATAAGAATCGGTGATTTATCTTTAAAAATGATAAGATTCCTTCTCATCATGAAAATTAATTTAGTTGAATTTCCAATGTATTTCTAATGCACGGAAATCGCAATAATATTCAATCTAAGAAACAAAATAATATGAATATACAACAGGAGACTAATCATTTCGAGAAAAAAACCTGTGACGTCCATGAAATCATAACAAGGAATGCTGTGAGGTACAACAGTGTGTTCAGAATAAGATATAATAAACTAGAAAAAATTCAGTTCAAATAACACAAGTTTGAATTGCAATGATAACGATAGAATCTTAAAGAAGAAAGGAAGAGCATAAAAAATAAATGTTGATGGAATAATCTTGTTCCGGTTTCATCTGCTACTTTGACCTGATCAAACTAGCCTAGCTCTCGAGTTTCATCCATGACATAACCTGTTAGAAAAACTTTTGTCTTATCTATCGAAACAGACTGAGAGAAGAAAAAGAAAGAGATTAGAGAGAATGGGAGAGAGAGAGGGAGAGAGTCCACCTTGTTTTCCCTCACTATGATTAAACTAAAGAAATTGTGAGGATAAGGAAGAGAATTTTCACTGGCAGAGACTGATCGATGACACTTTTTATGGAGATGTTGTCAAAGAGAAGTGAAAATAGTGAAATACGAAAAACGAAAGGGAATGTTGTGACAATAACAAGAGTGTTCTGCTCATAATTCGTAGTTCATGAATCAAATCATAAGCAGCCGTGAATCCGTGAATTCAATAGACCGTCTTAGGCTTCTTAAGGTCGTCTAATATGTTCTCGTCACTTTGACTTTGATGTTAACTATGAACTGTCAGTACATTCTGGGATGTCTCTTTGTACTTATCTGATAAAAAGAAGTCAAGTGTCGCCTAATCTTCTGGTTTCTCAGCTTTTGTTAACCTCATTCAGCTTAGGAGCTGTAGTTACTGATCCGGTCAATTCCTATTCATTGTTTATGTTAAAAATAGCAAGTTTATCTATGTTACGCTGTCATCATGAAACAAAGATTTGTTGAAGATAAGAAACCTACAATTATTCAATGTTTGTGCTCCGAGTCATTCCTCAATTTCTGCTCCAAAATCATCCTTTTCTCAATTTGCATGTATAGAAAGGTTGGAATTTTGCATGATTTGCATTTAATTGCTATTTTCTATCAGTAACAAAATACATTGCTTATTTTGCGTTCATTCAATTGAATTCTGCAAATCTTCTCTTTTCCACCAAAATAGTAAGATTGCTCTTTGCAAGATTAATAAATTTAAAGGTAAGAAAAATTGACGTAAATAGTTGCTGCGTCAAGCTCATGCAGAATTAACGGTATTATTGAATTTTTTCTGCTTATCAATAAATC